GGGCCGACTGATGGGGCTTGCCGACCTGATGGGGCTTGCCGTGATGGGGTTTAACGACCTGATGGGGCTTGCCGACCTGATGGGGCTTGCCGACCTGATTGGGCTTAACGACCTGTTGGGGCTTGCCGAACCGATGGGCTTGCCGACCTGATGGGGCTTAACGAACTGTTGGGGCTTGCCCCGATGGGCTTGCCGACTGATGGGGCTGCCGACTGATGGGGCTTGCCGACCTGATGGGGTTTGACCTGATGGGCTTGCCGACCTGATGGCTTAACGACCTGTTGGGGCTTGCCGACGCTGATGGGGCTTTGCTTAACGACCTGTTGGGGCTTGCCGACCTGATGGGGCTTGCCGACCTGATGGGGCTTAACGAACTGTTGGGGCTTGCCCACCCGATGGGGCTTGTCGACCTGCTGGGGCTTGCCGACCTGATGGGCTTAACGAACTGTTGGGCTTGCCGAGATGGGGCTTGCGACCTGATGGGGCTTAACGAACTGTTGGGGCTTGCCCCCCGATGGGGCTTGTCGACCTGTTGTGGCTTGCCGACCTGATGGGGCTTAACGAACTGTTGGGCTTGCCGACCTGATGGGGCTTAACGAACTGTTGGGGCTTGCCGCCTGATGGGGCTTGCCGACCTGATGGAGCTTAACGAACTGTTGGGGTTTCTCGACTGATGGGGCTTGCCGACCTGGTGGGGCTTGCCGACTGGCTGCCGACTGAATGGGGCTTAACGACCTGTTTGGCTTGCCGACCCGATGAGGCTTGCCGACCTGATGGGGCTTAACGACTGTTGGGGTGGCCGACCTGATGGGGCTTAACGAACTGTTGGGCTTGCCGAAGGGCCGAGATGGGGCTTAACGAACTGTTGGGCTTGCCGACCTGATGGGGCTTAACGACCTGCTTTGAGGTTGCTGATTGCCGACCTGCCGACTGGGGCTTGCCGACCTGATGGGGCTTAACGAACTGTTGGGGCTTGCCGACCTGATGGGCTTGCTTAACGAACTGTTGGGGCTTGCGACCTGATGGGGCTTAACGACTGTTGGGGCTGCCCGACCCGATGAGGCTTGCGACCTGATGGGGCTTAACGAACTGTTTGGGGCTTGCCGATGGGGCTTAACGAACTGTTGGTGCTTGCCCGACCTGATGGGGCTTAACGACCTTTGTGTTGCCGACCCGATGAGGTTTGCCGACCTGATGGGCTTGCCGATCTGATGGGGCTTAACGAACTGTTGGGGCTTGCCGACCTGATGGGGCTTAACGAACTGCTGGGGCTTGCCGACCTGATGGGGCTTGCCGACCTGATGGGGCTTAACGAACTGTTGGGGCTTGCCGACCTGATGGGGCTTGCCGACCCGATGAGGCTTGCCGACCTGCTGGGGCTTAACGAACTGTTGGGGCTTGCGACGAGATGGGGCTTGCCGACCTAATGGGGCTTAACGACCTGTGGGCTTGGCCGACCTGGATGGCTTGCCGACCTGATGGGGCTTGCCGACGAGATGGGGCTTGCCGACCTGATGGGCTTAACGACCTGTTGGGGCTTGCCGACCCGATGAGGCTTGCCGACCTGATAGAGCTTAACGACCTTTGGGGCTTGCCAACCTGATGGGGGCTTAACGACCTGTTGGGGCTTGCCGACCTGGTGGGGGCTTGCCGACTGGTGGGGGCTTGCCCTGATCGGGCTTGCCGACCTGATGGGGGCTTAACGAACTGTTGGGGCTTGCCGACCCGATGGGCTTGCCGACCTGATGGGGCTTGCCGACCTTAACGACCTGTTGCTTGCCGACTGATGGGGGCTTGCCGACCGATGGGGCTTAACGAACTGTTGGGGCTTGCCGATCGATGGGCTTGCCGACCTGCTGGGGCTTGCCGGATGGGGCTTAACGAACTGTTGGGCTTGCCCCCGATGGGCTTGCCGACCTGATGGGGCTTGCCGACCTGATGGCTTGCCGACCTGATGGGCTTGCGACCTGATGGGGCTTGCGACCTGATGGGGCTTAACGACCTGTTGGGCTTGCCGACCTGATGGGGCTTGCCGACCTGATAGGGCTTAACGACCTGTTGGGGCTTGCCGACCTGATGGGGCTTGCCGACCTGATGGGGCTTAACGAACTGTTGGGGCTTGCACCCGATGGGGCTTGTCGACCTGCTGGGGCTTGCCGACCTGATGGGGCTTAACGAACTGTTGGAGCTTGCCCACCCGATGGGGCTTGCCGACCTGCTGGGGCTTGCCGACCTGATGGGGCTTAACGAACTGTTGGGGCTTGCCCACCCGATGGGGCTTGTCGACCTGTTGTGGCTTGCCGACCTGATGGGGCTTAACGAACTGTTGGGGCTTGCCGACCTGATGGGCGCTTGCCGACTGATGGGGCTTGCGACCTGATGGAGCTTAACGAACTGTTGGGGTTTCTCGACTGATGGGGCTTGCCGACCTGGTGGCTTGCCGACCTGGTGGGGCTTGCCGACCTGATGGGGCTTAACGACCTGTTGGGGCTTGCCGACC